AAAAAAAAAAAAAAAAAAATTACATCGCCTTTGTTCAAGTGATCCTACTTGTAATTCATTCTAAGAAAATAATCCAAGTATGCAATAATTATGTGCATTCTACTCATGGAGAACAGCAGTCCAGGAACCACATATATCAGGCACAGATATGGTATTCAAAAATCACGATCCTGAACACATACCCCTCCCTTACACTTTCAGAACCAGAATCTCTATAAAGTTAACAAGGAGATACACATTTTGAAAAAACATTCCAAGGCCCAGCGAGGTGGCTCATGCCTAAGCTCACGAGTTTGAGACCAGCCTGAGCCAGAGTGAGACCTCGTCTCCAAAAATAGTCTGGCGTTGTGGTGGGCACCTATAGTCCCAGCTACTTGGGAGGCTGAGACGAGAAATACTAGAGCCCAAGAGCTTGAGGTTGCTGTGAGCTGCGATGCCACCACACTCTATCAGGGGCCACAAAGTGAGAGATTGTCTCAGAAAAAAGAAAGAAAAATAAAGAAAAAACACTCCAGCTTGAAAATTACCTACCAAGAAAGCAACAATAGGCCAGGAGCAGTGCCTCACACTTGTAATCCTAGCACTCTATGAGGCCAAGGCAGGAGGACTGCCTGAGCAGGAATTAGACTCCAACTCTACTAAAAATAAAAAAAATTAGCCGGGCATTGTGGTGATGCCTGTAGTCTCAGCTACTGGGGAGGTTAAGACAAAAGGATTGCTTGAGCCCAGGAGTTTGAGGTTGCTGTGATCTATGATGCCACAGCACTCTACCCAGGGCAACAGGGTGAGACTGTCTCAAAAATAAACAAATAAAAATGACTTAATTCCAATTTTTTAAAAAAGCCTTAGTCTCTTTAAAAAAAATATGTTATGAAATATAATTGTAAACAATAATACAAAGTAATTTAAGAACCTAGGAAGCCAAGCCCCTAAATTATAAGTGAAAGAACCTACAGTTTTTTAAATTTTAAAAATGATTTCTAGGTAATTACTAGGCATCAAGAGTATTTACAGTTTTTGAAAAGATAATAACCAGGTATTTCTTGATTTCACATAGAAAGAAAAGGTGGTTACAGTGTAGTGTATGAGATCAAGTCTAGTAAAAGTTAAACACTAAAAAAAATGTTTCCAGTAGGAAGGGCAAACCAAGACAAAATAGAAAAAACAGTATCAAACCATTAGGGAATTGGAAGTTTAATCTTTCCCCACCTAATAAAAAAAAAAAAGTACACTACAGAAATGACTTAAGCAGTAAAAGTATCCTATAAAAACAAGCAGAAATAAGTTTGTCAATATAGTCTTTTCAATATTTTTTCTATGCACATATGTGTTTTAAGATTTGGGATACTATAAATAGCATGGTAGCTATCTGAGAAATTAATAAAGTTGGTTCTTGCTGGACTTTCAGAATATGCTAGAAATAATTTCAAAGCATCCATTAAATGTAACTTTGTCAGCAAAATTCAGTTTCAAATATAGTTTAACTCTCATCAACATGATATGTCTGATTGAAATGGAACACTTCTGTAATCCTGAGCACTTAGCTCCAAATTATTTTAAGATGTGGACATTCTAAATATATCAGAGTAATATCAACTTGTAAATATAATTTAGTAAAAAACATGTAGTATAAAAGGCATAAGCAGAGGGATATGTAGAAATGTCAAGAAAATGAGAATATGACAGTAAACAACCAAAAAGTTTTTAGAAGAGAACTTAAAAAAAATTAAGCTAAGAAAAGTCCAAAGTTTCTACTAAAAAATTAACCTAAGAATAGATCTTTTAAGAATTTTGTGGGGCGGTGCCTGTGGCTCAAAGGAGTAGGGCACCGGCCCCATATGCCAGAGGTGGTGGGTTCAAACCCAGCCCTGGCCAAAAACTGCAAAAAAAAAAAAAAAAAAAAATTTGTGAATCTAAATTTTTCTGAAAGTCTCATGAACACAGTAAAGTTATCTTTTCAAAGCATAAATTGGTTCTATTTCAGTAAATATTTGAACACCTATGTGCTAAGTACCTAGAATACAAAGTTTATAATTAGTAGGAAAGGCAAGTATATATTAGGTTATTCAGTATAAAATGTTAAGATTTCCTTAAATATTAAGTCTGCTGATATTTCACTTGGACACTGCTTCTTTTATTTTTATTGTGAAGGTACCTCTTTATTGTTTCAAAAGCACACTTTGGCTTGTGATTGCCTTTCAAATTTTATTTTTTTATTTGGAGACTGAGTCTCACTATGTCGCCCTAGCTAGAGTGCTGTGATGTCACAGCTCACAGCAACCTGAAACTCTTGGGCTTAAGTGATTCTCTTGCCTCAGCCTCCCAACTAGCTGGGACTCCAGATGCCCACCACAATGCCTGGCTATTTTATTGTTGTTGTTGTAGTTGTCGTTGTTGTTTAGCAGGTCCAGGCCAGGTTCGAAACCACCAGCCTTGGTGTGTGTGGCTGGCGCCATAATTACTGTGCTACAGGCGTCGAGCCTGTGTGTGTTATTTTTGAATAAGAGTTCCATTATGGAATCGTGATGCAAAGACAGCTCAAAATATCAGCAAAGTGTTTGAGAAGGATATGGCTAATGAATGCACAGAAGGTTGGAGGTTTGAGAAGTTGGATTCTGATGATTTTAATCTTGAAAATGAGCCATGTGAGCAACCTGAGACCACGGTGAATAATGATGAGCTAAAAGCTGTAGCAAAAGCAAATCCGTCTCAATCTTTGCATTAATTAGCAGCAAAATTTGACACAACTATTCCAACAATACTGGACCATCTGAAACAAATCAGCAAAGGAAGCTGGATAGATTGAGTTCCACAAGAATTAAACAAACATCAGAAGAGAAAATGTCTTGAAGCCTGCCTTTCTTTGCTGTCCCAACACAAAGGCAAACCATTTCTTTTTTTTTTTTT